AATAAATAAAATGATAATAATCTCAATTTGAAAAACTATATTCTCAAAATTGATTTAGTTAAATATTGTTATTTATTTGAAATGATTAAAGTAATTATATTGTCTATAAAGAAAAGTTTATTTAATTATACTAGTCTATACTATGTTAAAAATTAATTTCCTTTAAATGAATATAGCTAATCAAAAAGCATAGAGAGCTTATATTTTGATGATCGACATAAATTTATGGTATTTACTATCCCCTCCTCTATTAAAAAATTTTACTCCTGATACCAATTAATCAGAAAATTTTACAACATTTACATTAGGTGGAACAATACCATCATATATGACTTTTTCAGTCTTCCTATCAGCTGCTATTACGAATACTTTCATGTCTGTTTATCTATCATCAATATCCAACATCCAAAACTTTACAGTATTGATTTTGTATGCTTAATAAAATTCCACGATTATTGATTAACCAATATAGGCAACAGCATGCCCTTAAAGAAGATTTGGAGGGTAGTAGTAGAGTAAATTTCTTAAAGGAAGATTGTTAATACCTTGTGTCCAAAAAGTAGTTGTTCTTGCTGAAGATAGAAGTGCTCCATTAAATTATGAGGCTACATCGTTGTAATTTCCCCTAATAATAGATGCTTTACTTAAAATATATAGATCATTTTAAGAACATTTTGCATTATCATCAGCAGCTGGTAATGGGGCAAAATCTGAGTATTCTAATAAGAAAAACAAAAGCAATAATTTCATTAAAAATTTTAATCTTATAAAGTTATTCAGTGTTTTATAATTAAGAGTTTTTAGACAATAATATCATGAGGAGGAATAAAATCACTTAAATAAATAAAAAAAAATTTTTGAATGAGTCAAACTCATTCTATTTCTATATATTTAATTAGAGTAAATATTATTATTTGGATTTATCACTATAATAATTATAGTCAACCTTGTTTTGATTATTTATTTACAGAATAAATAGAAAATCAATATAAATTTAGTGTTAATTCATAATTGACATTTTACCTAAACTTTAATCTCTAAATTTACTTGCAAATAATCGAAAGTTTCCTTAAGTTCAAAAAGAAAATTGTCATTTTATCATAATCTCTCAGTATTTGTAAACATGTTATAAATTTACTTAATTTTTCAGAAAGTCATAGAAAAATCAA